GGTATACGAACTACCGTAACGAACACCTGTGGCTTCAAGAAAATCCACATGCGATCCGCCCAAGTTCTTTTCAACATAAATTTTCTGTCAACGTTTGGGCCGGAATGATTGACGACATTCTAATTGGACCAATCATTTTACCGGAGACAATGAATAGCCCAAGATTCCTAAACTTCCTGGAAACGAATTTTTTGGATGCTTTATTGGAGTTACCATTGGCCTACAGGGCCAGAATGATTCTGCAATTGGATGGTGCTCCGGCACACTCCGCGCTTCTTGTGCGGAATCATTTAAATGCACACTATTCGTCGTGGATCGGACGCGGAGGAACAATTGCTTGGCCACCGCGGTCGCCGGATTTAACACCTCTCGATTTTTTTTTTGTGGGGCACACTCAAACGAAGAGTGTATGTAAATGTGCCAAATACACGAGAGGAGTTAGCAGAAAAAATAATTCAAGCAGCAAACGAATTGCGAGAAGACAAGGCAATGATCCAGCGCTCTACGCAACACGTTGCACTAAGAGCAACAGCATGTCTGCAGAGACAAGGAGGTCACTTTGAGCACTTTTTGTAATTATTTTGCCAAATTAAATGCAATTGATATAAATTATTTTGTTTTATTTCATTTGCTAGTGTATCCGCGCTTTTCAAGTAAGTATGTTTACACTGTCATAGCTCCTAAACTATCTAACTCAGAGAAAGTCTTCTACTTGGGTAGATATTGTTAAATTAATACAAGCATCTATGCTTCGCCAACAATTTTTTTTAAAGTGCTGCCATTTTTTTATTGATGGCGAAAAAAAATCATTGATCCCTGATTTGTCGATAAAATTAATTGTATTTTAACCCCTTAAAGTATCGGACATCGGAAACCGGACATCCTGTATATATAAAACATATTACAACATTAGTATCAAGACGAGATGGGCAGTGGCAACTATGGTAAATATCCCGCTTATGGGACAGTTTTAGATGAGGCCTATGTTCAGCAGTAGACTTTTATAGGCTGTGACCTGTATTCATAAAGTCGATAAAAGCATTACTCACTCGCTCGTTTGTTTTTTGACGTGTTTCGTTAAGAAAGGGAAAAACAAGCGATTATGAGCCTTATTTATACATAAGAATAAAGCGTGTTGACACATGAAGATATTGCGTTCGTGTTGCATGCAGCAAAGGAGTGGAATAATTTGCCGGTGTTGCCTCTCCATCTGAGAGTGAGGAAAAGGGTTTTTTTTTAAACAGAATAAGGGTGAAAAAGGAACACATTCCACTTGATGGTAAGTGGATGCTGTGGCCCATAGACATTTACATCTACCCTCAATCAAGAATTAAATTGCAAATGCGTTGTCACCCCTAAGGACTAAGATGGAATGCCTCGTCTCCAGTAAAAAAGTGTCTCCGGTTCTCTACACCCACTATATGAAATACAGCACCATTGAGTTATTTTATGCTGGCTATTTTACGCTGGTATTCTCTGTGAGAGCGTGGTCCTTCCTACCCAGGTCGAGCCGACCCATGCGTGCTACAACCATAATTGATAGGGACAGTACGATTGATGTGGGAGAGCAAGTAGACTTTATGTATTTACTTCTTGAAGAGAGAGACTAACTTTAATTTTAACTTCGATAGCTTATTTACTTTAACTAAACTGACTATTAAGTGGACTGTATGAAAGAAAAGGTGGGACAGTTAAAAACACAATTTATTTGCTATATAAAATGCGGCAGTACAACTATTTACACTAATACTGATAAGGACACTAGAGGGAGATTTTTTGAGTCTTCTTCACTGTCGCTTAGAAATCGAATGACTCCCGGCGATTTTTTTGCGCCCAGATCCAATGGAAAGGGCTACCCTCCGGAAAGCGAGGAAGGGAGGTGGTGAATGCTCTAAGCATTCCACGACAGCCGGCTGTCGTGGTTATGTGGAGCTCACTGCAACTAATCTAACCTAAGTGCCTACCCACTAAACACCACCTGTAAGACTGGCATTGGCTTTCGTAGCCTTTTTGCCGAATCGGAAGCGACCCTCTTTAGGGAAATGGGGGCGCAGGCGGGGACGAGCCGCTGAGGGATAAACGACTCCCGGCGACCCGACGCCCTTCTTATATTCACGCGGCGGGGTTTCTCCGTAGGTGGGTTCCTACGCGGCGTCGCTGTGCGCTTGTTGGTATGAGGGGACGACAGGGCAGCGGCTCTCTTTGCCGACCGTAACACACAGTATAGTTGCAACATGGCTCTACCGCGGATTTTGATAAGCTAAGCCGGTGTACGCTTTACCAAAGTCAACTACATTTAATAAAATTTATCATTAAGTAGGATATTATTCAACAAGGACTTATAAGGAGTAAGAAACGATTGGTCGATTGTTGCATGGTTCTCATAGGCTTGCCCCATAGATTGCCTCATAGGAGAAATGTTTGCTGTTGCACGCCTCATAACGCAAAGCGTTATTAGGTTAGTGCTCTACCCTCGACACCCCAAGATCAAGCAATTTTGTGTTATTAAAATGCCTCTATCATAACTATATTTCACTTATACGATAATATGAGTAGCCCTATATCAAGAAAACACTCTAATTAATCTATTTTATATTGCTAATTTGTAAAAAAAATGTTTGAAAAAAATTTTACTTGGACGTCCGGATGTTGATTTTGTATGTAGTTACGATAACTCTCGAAAAAAATTGACGTATCGGCTTTTTATTAGCTTCAGAAATACATCAACTGAGTCCCTATTTCATATCAATGCCCTAGTACGCGTAGTTTGTTAATAAAATGATTTTCAACTTTTATAAGTTCTATTACTATTACAAATTTAATGGCACTTTAATTATTTTTGCCCTTGATAGACAAAGGAGAAATGTACCATACAGCCTATATTGATTTGAAATTAAATGAAACGCTCACGAGGCGTGCACTTTTGGATTTTCCAAACTATATTTATCACTCTTGGTACTCGGATGGGCAACCACTTTTGTTATTACTTTATACAGTGGTGGTCATATAATTAGAAACACTACCAACGGTCCTTGACATTATGTAAGATACTTCACTGCAATCGTTTTTATTTGGAAATTAAACAATAAATAGGACAACAATATGTTCAACGATTTATCATTTATTAGAAAAACAATATAAATCCCATTACACAATTGCAGTTTCAGTACTATATTACGGACAAACATTTACATCAGTTTTAAGGTATGAACAATAATGGTCAACTAATTAGAAACAACAACAAAAAAGTATAAGAAATATAATTTTTTTAAGTATTAGTAATTATTATTGTTATTTACGAAATAGCTACTATCCACAGCCTACCAATACTTATAATTAATATTTAGTGGCCTTATTTTCAATAACAGCACTGCAACGACGTGGCATTGATTCAATTAATTTCATACATTTTTCTAGGGGGATTGCATTGCATTCCATGTTTCAACAAATGCTTCATATAGTTCGTTTTGACTGGTGTTACATTTGTTTGAGACTTTCTTTTTAACAGTGTACTAGAGATTTTCTATCGGGTTTAAATCCGGACTATTTGCTGGCCAGTCTAAAACGGATATACGCTGTTCGCTAAGGAAACATTTGACGCTACTGGCCGTGTGTTTAGGGTCATTGTCATGCTGAAAGATTCAGGTTACAGGCAAATGATCGTCCGAGTAGGGAATCATTGTATGCTCTAAGATATTTTTGTATTGCCATTGAACCATTGTACCTTCAATCTTTCGGACGGGTCCAACTTCACATCCGGAAAAACACCTCCAAACTTTAATGTTACCGCTACCGTGTTAAACTATACTCCTTGTGTATTTATAATTAAAAGAATTGTTTACATGACGTCTAACATAGCGCTTTCCATTGGAATTTACCATATTTATTTTATTGTTTCATCTGAAAATAACACTTTTTCCATTCTCGTACCGTCCAATTACATATTTTTTAGCGAATAATAATCGCTTCTCTCGGTGTTGCTTGGTAAGAAGCGGTACCTTTCGAGAGATTCTTCCAAACAATTTAGCTACCACTAATCTTCGGCGTATCAGTCTTGACGAGATGTTCTCAGGTCATCAGGCGAAAAAACTTCATTTTTAATCTGGTTGGAGCCTTTACTTGGGTCTTTTTAGCAACACGAACGATTAGCGTATCTTCTCTGGGAAAGGTTTTTCTTGGCCGAGCCTTTATAAGAACATTTTCAACAACTCCATGTTTTTTATAATGATCAATTGTATTAAAAACTTTCTTAACAGAACAATTTAAGTGCTCAGCTATTCTTCTGTACGCCCACTTATGTTCTATATGTAAATTAACAATTATTTGCCTAGTTTACGCGTCACAACTTTTATTTTTGCCCATTTTGAACAAAATGAAATTCAAATTAAATTTTGAATTGCCGCCAAAATAATAGAAAAAGCCAAGAAAGAAATGTTATTCTCCAATTTCAAAAAAAGAACGAGCTATGGATGCTTTTTTAAAATGTTTCTAATTAGGCGTCCAAGCGGCCAGTAACAGAAAATAAACTCCTACAAGTGTAAAACTCATTTTGTAATTAAAAGTAAGATATGTTTTATATTTTATGCATTTAATGAGTTTTTTATTTGAGTGGCTATATTAATGCATGATTATTAATTATTGAATGTTTATATTTCTTATGAACATTTGTACGTTGAAGTTATACTTTCTTTATTCACAAGAAGTGTTTCTAATTATATGACCACCACTTTACATTTCGTTTGCACTACTCTCTCTAACTCGAACTAACTCTGTAACTCATAATTGCAGGATCACACACAGACTTGTTAGTGAAGTCACAAGGCTTCCACTGAAAACCAGCGCTGCCTTTGCAGCATTATGTTGAGTTGGAGACCTATTTGATGTCACATTGATTTTTTTTCTTTTATTATTTAAAAGTTTTGTGCATGCATCTTTTGCCCCTTCCGATTACAGCTTATTAAAGTCAACTCCTGTCCATAGGCCTCCCCCGTAGATTACTTCATAGGGGGATATCTGCCATAGTAGTTACCCTTGACGAGTGGGTGGGCAGCCGCAGTTTTTTATTTTTAGTCGTTACTACGAAGACACTCCTGCCCATCTCCCGATTTGTTCCCTACTTTCTCTCTTAAATAACATGTATCTTATAACTCCAAGATCCGCACACTTGTTGACTCTGTTTTTCCCTCTACCGAGAGAAGATTTTTTTTTATAGGATAAGGGTGACAAACGAACACACAGTCCATCTGATGGTAAATGGTTACTGTGGCCCATAGACATCTACATCAATCCTCGATTACAAATCCAAATGTAGATGCGTTGTCACCCGTGAGGACTATGATGAAATGCCTCATTTCCAGTAAAAACGATATCCAGTTCTCTACACTTTCCATACGAAACACAGCAGCATTAAGCTGCTATTTTATGCTGGTATTCTGTGAGAGCGTGGTCCTTTCCCGGTCGAGCCGACCCATTCGTGCTACAACTATACTACTAATATAGCTGCAGCATGGCTCTACCACGTGCCTATCCACGGGTGATATGGGGTAATGTATTTTCTTACATGACCACTACACGGTTGACGCACGGGCAGAATGAAGAGGTATAAAGATGTACTTACCCAAGTGCAGGTTTCCACTGCTTAAGTTTCCTGAGAGCAGCAGTTCTGCTGCAGCATCCACCTGGTTGTTGCAGAGTTTGAGTGCGGCTTTCGCCTCTTCCAGGTTGTAGCCCATTTCCTCCAACTAAAAGGTTTTAAATGAAACTAGTTTTTAAGGATTTTATCGCTTATAATAACTTATTTTATATTCCCGAAGTTTCGAGTACTTTGCAGCACCCTCGGTGACGGGGAGGAGGGAGGGAAGAGGGGGGGGGGGGTGACGTTTTCGAAATCCCAATGTCATAGTTAACCACGGCCACCGTCGGTTTGAAATCATTAATTTTTGGTCCAATCTACGTAGCATGAGCTTATAGTATCTTGAATTCTTGCAGATGTATGCTTGGGTTGGGATTTAATTTTATTAATTATTGGATTCCAAGCAAATGATAGCACGCAGCAATCTTCTCTATTGAAATTAAGATGTTTTCAGATTTCAATAGCCTCGCGAATCATACTTAGAAGGGAATCGGTGTTCTTTATCGACGATTTGTGGTCATTCAAATTTGATGTAGTGGCGGGGGCGATCCTGTATAATCATGTAAACAATAATGATAAAATCCATTGACCTACTACTAAATAGACTTCAGGTCCGCGCTCAAAATTGCCAAAAAAGTTTTAAAATGCAAAAAGAGCTTCAATCGCGCGCCAGTCTTCATTTTACTGGACTGAGTGCTCGCTTGTCGCCCTTATTATATAAAAAAGGTTAATAAACAGTACTTTGGTTATTAAAGTTACCTCTGCCACCAACGCCTTGTCGATCTCGACCGGGGAGCCTTCTGAACTGGTTGTGCTCGCTTCCCCTGACAAGTCACCAAACTGTAAACCAAAAGTAATATTAATGTTAAAAACACGTGCTAGAGCCATGCTGCAGCTAAATTATGGTTGTAGCACGAATGGGGTTGGTTTAACTGGGGTAGGGCCACGCTTTCACAAATATCAGTGTATGGTGAGTGTAGAGAACCGGAGACCCTTTTTACTGGTAACGAAGCATTCCATCTTGGTCTGCATTTTGATTCGTAAACGAGGATGAAATGTAGATGTCTATGGGTCACAGTAACCACTTACCATCAGGTGGACTGTGTGCTGAGTAAATATATTTAAATACAATTAAATTATACATGTGTTTTTGTTATCCTTACACAACCAATTTAAAACATCTTACTTCATATTTATCAGTGTGTAATAACATAGATAAAGATGATATTATCTAGTCATTTTGGCCTTAATGGTGTTTGGGGTATGATAACTAATCAGTTAATGTATTTTGAATCAAATTTTACACGCCTGCACCTTTACTAATCAACCAAAATATATTAAAACAAAGTCTTGACTATATATTGCAAAATAACCATGTATATGTCTGACTAGGCTGTTAGGGACATAAATCCCTTGAAATAAATAAAATAATTTTGACTATTAGCGTTTTCGGTAAGTGTAAGGATTATAATATATAATCTTTGGATTCTAGTAGGTACATTTAAAACCTAGCTCGATAATTTTATATTTTATATACAAAATAAAAAATTGCGTTTGATAAGCGACGTTTTTAACACGTGGTAGAGCCATGCTGCAGCTATATGAGTAGTATAGTTGTAGCACGAATGGGTCGGCTCGACCCGGGAAGGACCACGCTCTCATTTCTGTGAGAGCGTAGTCGTGAATACCAGCGTAAAATAGCAGCTTAATGCTGCTGTGTTTCGTATGGTGAGTGTAGAGAACCGGAGACCCTTTTTACTGAAAAAGAGGCATTCCATCTTAGTCCTCACGAGTAACAACGCATCTGCATTTTGATTCACAAACGAGGATAGATGTAGATGTCTATGGGCCACAGCAACCACTTACCATCAGGTGGACTGTGTGCTCGTTTGTCACCCTATCCTATAAAAAAAAGCGAAATATAAACTTCTTAAGTAAAAAAAAATTACAGACAGTATCGATCTACTTGGAATCTTAATTAATCTACGTATAGGATGGTCATCTAAAAAAATTTTAGGACTTGTAAAAATTAAATTTTCCAAAGAAATTGTTAGAGAATAGACGTGAAGTCACTGCTTCATACAGTCAAATAAACTTTTGTTTTTGATTATTTTAAATAACAAAAATCTGGCAAGGTGTTGCCACGTGGATTGATGAGGCGATGGAATAGAGATGTGTCTTTGTGTGGTGGCCTTTGTTTAGCGGTAAAGTTGTGATCGGCTGTGATGATGACGATAAATAAATATTACATTTTACGAAGGACTGGACTTCTTTATATAAATTATTTATTCATATTATGTTATTTAATATCAGCGCCTAATACTCACCAAATCGGGCTGATCCTGTAGCAATCTGACAGCCTCTGCCACGTCGTTGTTGGAGCGCCGTATCGCCAGTATCGCACGGTTGCGCGCAAAGCCCATCTCCACTAACGCCTTTACGGAATCCGCGAACACTGGCGAGCCGTCCTCGCAGACACCAAGCAGACGCTGCTGTCTGATGATGAAAACAACAGCTATCGTTAAAGTCACAGCCTATGTACGTCCCACTGCTGGGCACAGGCAACCTCTCATTTCTGAGAGGGTTTTGGGCAAGGAAATGTCCGCCGCACTGCCCCAATGCGTGTTAGCGAACTTTACATGTCTTTGAAATATTTTTTTCTTATATCTCAGACATGCAGGTTTCCTCACGATGTTTTCCTTCACCGCCGAGCAAATGGTAAATCTGCACTTAAAATTGCAATTAACTTTGAAATTAAAATTGTAATAAATTTAAAATTGCAGACGGTGTGCCGGCATGAAATACTGTCCCGCTGCCGGCCAATTTTGCCTTCTCTTCCAAGTGACCACGAAACTGCACGTTACTCGATATGTCGACGCCGAGGATTCCGATACTGGCTGAGGCAACAAGGGGAGTACCTTGAAACTGAGGAGATATGACAAAGGGGTTCTCTTTAGCGGTAAACGCGCAAACTTGTGTCTTCTGAGGATTAAACTGGACTAGATTTAGTGGCCCCCAATCCGAGACTTTGTTCAGCAAAGACACGACTTCAGACACAAGTTTGTTTCGGTACTCGCGACGTTTTCCCGAGAAATATTGGCACGGCCGGTATATAGAGCATCACCAGTGCTGTCATCCGCATGGCAATGAATGCTACCGGTTTGCAACATATCATTGATATGCAGAAGAAACAGCGTTGGTGATAGCAAGTGCCTTGTGGAACACCAGCGTTAATAGGCTTGTAGTCGGAGCATGCACCGTCTACAACGACGACGAGGAGTACTCTGCGAACCGAGCGCTTTGAGAACCGCACATCCGACATGGAGCACTCACACCGCGGGATAGTTGGCGGTGTGGAGTCATCAACAGTCGAGTTGGACGCAAAAAGGGAGCCTAAAAGGTCGGATTTATCTTTTGCGTCGTGGGCCAGTGAGTCGTCCTCCCTGTGCAGAGATGGTAGTGATGGCTTACAGAAATTCCCTTGGACAGCCTTGGCGAGAAACCAGAATGCACGGGTTCCCGAAGGAAGGCAAACTAGTTTCTCGCCAATTCTGCCTAAGTGCTCTGACTTTGCCTTGGTAATAACTCTTTTGAAGGACCTGGAGGCAAAGTTATACTTCTTTTTAAGTATGCCGGTGTTTACATCCCGAGTCGCCGAAGCCGCAGCCCAGGCTTGATAACAATCCTGCTTACTGCGTAATGCAGTTTTACAGGAGCGACCAAACCATGGCTGAGATCTGCCTCTGATGGGTACCACAGATGATGGAATAAATAGTTCCATTCCCTGTAGAACCACATCAGTGACAGAATCAGCAACAGCGCTGGGATCATCCCGCGAGAAGCAAACCCACCCCTATGGGTAGGAAGCAAAGAAAGACCCCATTCCGTCCCAATCCGCCGACCTGTAATGCCAAAGACGGCGGCAACCTGCAGAACGCAACCGCAAGGGGAGCGTGGGTGGCACCACAATTCGGATCAGACAATGGTCCGAAGAGCCAAGAGGGGCATCGACGGAAACCTGATATCCGTGCGGATGAGAGGTCAGCAGAAGGTCCAACAGGGAAGGTGTATGATCCTCAACGTCTGGAATCCGCGTAGGCGATGTAACCAGTTGTGTCAGACCATAAGCCAAGGCAAAGTCATAAACAGATCTCCCCGTATGATCGGTTAAACGTGAACCGAGCCATTCGGCGTGGTGGGCGTTAAAATCGCCAAGGATCACGATCTCTGCAGATGGGACCTGTTGTAGCAAGGAATCTGTAGCCATTTGGACGTGGTCGATGAGTCGGTCTGTTTCGGCATTACCGCTATGGGATCTATAGAGGCACCCGTAGACGCGCGGATGGTCGTCGCTGTCTACGCGTAGCCAAAGGATGGACAGGTCCGAACCTTCAAGACTGCCGAGGCGTCGAGAACAGATGTCCTCTCTGACGTATACGCAAACTCCAGCCCGAGGCACAAAGGAGTGCTCCAATTTGTATCCAGGGTAGGAGAGATACGAAGTATCAGCCGGAGAAGACACCTGCGTCTCGGTCAGAAAGAGCAAGGCCGGCTTCGCCGTCTCGAGATGGTAATGGACGGCGTTTAGGTTCGAGTGAAGTCCCCTGATGTTGCAGAAATTCACGGATAGCGTGGCAGGGGTCGCCTTGGTCTTGTTGCTCAGTTTGCCCCGAGCAGTTATTGTGTTGAGCGGAATTTTGCCCCCCCCCCCCCCCCCAGAATACGCGGTGCAGCCTGAGCACCCACGCTCAGGAGTGGAATAGCATGGTCGTGGATGCTCAGCGAGCGATTCTCCAGGGGTGCTGGTATGACGTAATTCCGCTACCATGTTGATGGGGGGGGGGGGGGGGGGGGTATTGGATATATTCACCTGCACTCACCAGACAAAACGCGGAAGCAGAGCTTCCACTTCACGCCGGTATTCGGTGAGGTCGTGGTACTAACCCGGCTCGAGCCGGCCCATACTTGCAACAGCAAAAGCTGCTGCGTGGCTCTACCATCGTTAATTTATTCCAGCCGTTCGTCTTAATGACAGCCTCGAACTGGATTTTGTAGGCCAACCAGGAAGAAATCCCGTCGAACGTTGGCACTTTGAACCTACGTAGCGAAGGTGTTGTAGCTACCACGGGAGCAGTAATTCCATTGCGAAGTTTGAGGTCGTCTAGCGTTTTCTTCACGTCATCCATCACGCTGTCAACCAGATTGTTCACTTGATCGATTCGGGTTTCAGCTTCCGACATGCGGTTGTCATGTTGAGCAAGCTTATCCTTCAACTCCCTTATCTCTTTCCCGAAGGTAGCGTGAAGGTCCTTAATGAGGAGCATCTGTTCTTCCTGACCGCGTTGCAGCTGCTCTTCCAACCAGTTGGCCTGCTCCTGCAGCATCATCATCAGAGCACCTAACTCAGGTGCTGCAGATGCAGGAGCTGCTGGAGGACCGGCCTCCGTGGTCGGCAGCTGGCCCTTCGACGTAGCGACATTGCACCACCAAATCGTCTCTGGTCCGTCTGCTGCTGGCGTTGACTTCGGGAACGGATACTCTTTGTGTCGTCCTTAGGTAAAATCGCCATGATTTGATCCCACTTCTGACACCAATTGTTATAAGTTTGGGGTAGGAGACAATTAAAGACTGCCGAGTTAATTACCAAAATTAACACATTAATTACAGAACACTAATTATAACTTAAAACCACACTAATAACAAAACACAATTGTACTACTGATCACTTTAGTTTGCAGTTGTATCGCTTCGAAGTATTCGCTTGTATCGCCAACTCAACTCTGACCGGGTCGCGGTCTATACCGGCCTTATATAGGACCTCAGATAATTACCTTTAGGATAGCGCAAAGAGCTATCCTAAAGGTGATGCTTTTCTTACCTTACCGCTACCCGACCAGCTTGCTATATAATAAAACAGGTGTATTGTCTGTTCGGAAAACTTTCGTGTATCAATGCATCAGACGGTACCATCGTTTATCTGTACCACACATAAATGTTAAGAACAAAAGAACTGTAAAGTACCCTGCTCCTAACAGGAAAAGCTCGATAGCAAGAAAGCATTACGAATATCTTGCGCCTCGGCTATATAATAGATTCAACAAAACAAAAGTTATACAGAGGCTAAACAACAACAAAATTAAAAATCGTTTTGCTAGATTGGTTAAAAGAATTTGACTACTATGCTTGTGAAAGATTTCTTAGTGTTAACGTATAAGCTAATAAGAACGTGCACACACTCACACACACACACACACACACACACATACACACACACACACGCGCGCATACGCAGGCGCACGCACACACGCACACGCACACACACATACACACACACACACACACACACGCACATACACTCGGTAGAAAAGAAATAAATTAGTTTTATTAAAAAAAAATGTTTTATAATAGTCTGCGTAAAAAATTTTATATGGTATAATTGTATGGGAAGGTACTGATATCCTAAGATACAGGATTAATCCTAGTTTAGGAATCAGTGCAACATTTTGTTTATAACATATATATGTTTTTAATAAAGAATCTTATTATTATTATTATTATTATTATTATTAATTTCCAGAACCTTCTACTGTAGAAATATCTAGAATGTTGAAGTACACAGCGATCCTGACTGACTTGGTGTCGATAGTTCTAGAAAGTTCTTCCATGGAAAATGCTAGAAGGATCTCCTAGTTCTGCTACTCGATACTAGAGGGCGCTAGTGGTAACTAGTGTTGCCATGTACCAGGCAGTAATGGTAGCGCTCAACAATAGCTTCTAAATTTGGGTCTTTAACACTTTGATACACAATATTTTAGCACCAACTTTTGACACTATAAAATCTTGTTTGTAATAATACTTATTGAAAGTCATTTTTTACTTTTATTACTGGTAAATAATAGCGCCATCTACTTCATTACATTGGTATATTTTTTTTATTATACCAAACAAAAATGGATTGCTAGAACGAACGTTATATGATTTAAACACTACTAATTGAATATAAATCGGTAAGTTATGAAATCGTGGATTGTTATCAATGGATTGGATATGATAATTTTATTCAATATGGTTAATTTTATTTATTTAATAAATTTATTATTTTTTTAATTGTTTATTGCAATATAAGAAACATTTTATGCTGTATTCATCTTATTTTGGATAAATCGTGTGTATGTTTGTCTCGCTTAAGTGTCGCCTTACGTTTGATCGAGTTTCAAATTACAAGAATTATATAGTTTTCACTTGAGTAAATAAATAGATCGGTCACCTCAGGTTGCGATCGTGTTGGCGCGCCTTGTGGCGCAGCGCGGCGCGCTGCAGCAGCTGGCGGTGCGCGCGCTCCGGGTCGCCGGCCGCGCCGCGCAGCCCCACGCGCGCCTGCGCCCGCGACCAGCCCAGCTCCATCAGCCGGCACACGGCCTCCTCGTCCACCTGGACACCCATACATTCACATAGCATAGCTATACATCCACGTAGTAGGGCCATGCTAAAATGAAGTACATATGTGGCGGCGCCATCGTCGCGGCACAACCAAAAGGCACCCTAGCCTAAATCGCGCTATCAAAGTTCCGAAGCTACCGCGATATATATTAAACAACCCCCCAAAGTAACGTACGGAGCGTTGGCCGCTCCCCGTGCAAAACATACACACGCCTAAACATACAATACAATAAAAAGAAACATTTCAATCACTATATATATACAAGAGCATAAAGTAGAAGTGTAAAGTAGTAAAATCGCATATCAGTTTCGCCTCTTCCAGTTCCACTTAAATAACAGTTCCAGAACCCTGTTCAAAATAGCAGTCTCTTACTACAGTCTTGGTAGGTACTTATCTTTCTAACTAAGGCGTTGAACCTATGCGAGAAAAGGAAAGAGCTTGTAACGAATAACAGGGTATCACAGTAACATTTTTTTTATCTTATTCTAACAAAGATAACTGCCATATTATGTATGAATATAACAAAACTTGTGACTGTCTTTTATACTCAAACAAATATAAAAAATACCTTTTGACAGCTGTCAAACCATGACAAAGAAGAGGTGTTCTAATTAGATTTCACTATGTAACAACGCGTGACAATTTGCAGAGTAACGAGATGTTAAGCCCCGCCCACTTTACACTATCTACATCTACCTATAAATAATAAAACTACTCGAATCGTTCCATATCGATGCTGCAATATATTTTAGCTATCTTGATGATAGATGGTGGCCTGTTCATAAAATGATTATCATTATATATAAAATTACGTGTCACGTTGTTTGTCCGCGATGGACTCCTAAACTACTGAACTGATTTCAATGAAATTTTGCACACTGTGTGCATTTTGGTCCAACTTGAGAGATAGGATAAATTTTTATTGCGAATTTAAGGATTTTTATAGGAAGGGTCATTGGAAAGGGCAGAACAACGACTGCCTGGCGAGCTAGTAAACTATAAAAATAATATATTGGTGATTAAAATTTCTTTATAGCTAAATGCAAAACAAATTTCATCACCTTCGTATCATTATTTTACCAATACTGAGCTCTACGTACCTTTATATTTTTAGTTCACATGACACGAAGTGTCGCCATCTAGTGTCGAATATATTTAATTATATTTGAAAGCCGACGCAGAGATTTTTCTAAAACTATTTTAATAAATTAGGTGTAAAATTACTTACAAATGAAATGTGATGTCATCCATAGCATCAGAGCGTCTATCTGAGTAGCTGTCACACGATAAAACACAACACTTCATCCTGTTCTTCTTAATACTATGAAATTACAAAATACACCGATTTGCGATTTTCAACACATAAGCGCACAGGACGAATGCTGACAGTATACTAACTAAAGCCACGCCCACTATGATGATGTCAGGACCTACTTAAAATCACAATGCACAGTTGCTTCTGCCGTCTCTTCTTTGTATTTGCTTCATGTGTCAAACTTATTGGACTAGGCAAGTCAACCAAAAGATCGGTACGTACAATATTCGATTCTTAAAAAAAATCGATATCGATTCTTTAGAGTTGGTAATCATTTACGGTTACAGAATAAATTAGAAACGGATAATTTAAAACACAAGATTTACCATTTTCTTTATTGTTATTGCTTATTTCTAGAATCCAAGTTATATAGATTTAAAAGCTGAAACTAAATTAAAAATAATTTATTCACTACAGTTAGTTGTCGTTGTTTAGGTTACTTATTATTTGATTTTTAATAATGTAATCAAAATGAATATCTCTTTCAAAGACATCCATAATAATTTTCTTTGTTTTCTCCACCACTTTTGCCTAATTATCTTTGTGGCATGAGTACATGCCTCCTTCGGCAAACGTTCTATTTTCTTCATAAAGCATAAGATATTTTCATCTCGTGTGTGTTTAAGAAGAATTAATAATATGTTTGCATTTAGAACCTCTCATATAAGAACTAGCCTTTGATTTGGGCCCAAATCAATTTTATAACTATAATGGCAGTGGTATAGTGGTAGTCTTGTGATATTCAGTGGAATAAGTGGAACGAGTGATACACTACGCACTATAATTTTAAGCAAGCACAGGTGCACTCTCTATTCCCTCACTCTCATAGTCCAATGGAACGGAAATCCGACCCGACTTAAGATAAACCAGAAACAATACCAACAGCTATACGTGATTTCCGACGCATGAGCTCAAGCTAGCTTTCTTGACAGAAACACTCAATAGTTGATTTTTGCACGGTGCCTTCATTCAAATTTATAGACTGAGACATCATCCATTTCTAGGAAACAGGTTTACGTATAACCAATACTACGAGTTAGTGTAATTTCCCTCGACATTGCACAAGTCATTATTATTTTTATCCTGCGTTAAACAATTATAACTTTATCGTTGTTGTTGAATAGTGCTCAATCTAATCTTAAATAAAAAAGCTTTTAGAAAAATTCACTTCGCAAATATCCGCGTTATAAAATAAAATGATGTGTCTTACCTAGTATGAAGAGCACCTTCCGCCCTCCCTCAATTGCGTGCACTATCCCCGTCACCACTAATCCCAGCACCGCTACTCCCAACACCATTACACTAGGCAAGACACACCATTGACGATAATACGACACGTGTTTCGCCTCTACACGAGGCATCCTCAGGTGATATACTCTACGGAGGCTAACCGCTAAGTGAGCGGCGAGCCAAGATTAAAGTGCCTCTTATACAGACCGATGACGCAACCGCTCTCTACTTAAGGAGCGAGCGACTGCGTCATGCGATAAAACATGCGACCAATCACCGCCGGACTTACGCAGCCGTTTGTAAAATTAAAAACAAACCGCCGCGCAAAGTAACGCCTGATTCTATTATTTATAAAAAAAATTAGTTAAAGTCACTAACCCTCAATGCATTCAACTCTTTCTCTGCTTTCTCTAGCAGCAACTTTGCTTCGGTTCTTTTGTTTTGGTGAAATGCCACAATCCCTTGTAACAGGTACAGCCTCATAAGTAATACACGTTCGTTCGCTGAAAACAGAAAATGCATTACTGACGTGCAAGAATTTTTCAAGGATTTTTTTTTTATTGTAACAAAATCTACAGCTTGTACATTTAACAATATATAAACAAGAGAACATTTTATGTTATTTTATGTTACCAAGCAGAGATCCCTGCGGGACACCTGAAGCGACGTTTATATAATCAGATCTGTAACCACCTATGATCACAGCTTGGCTGCGATTAAAAATATATGCTTGGAACCATCTTAATAAATCACCGCAAATCCCGAGTGCTTGTAGTTTTTGAAGCAGGATGACATGATCCACACGGTCGAATGCTTTTTCGAAGTCCGTATAGATCACGTCAACCTGCAAGCCTCCGTCCATCCCACGTAAGACGTCGTCCATAAAGAGGGATAGATTGGTAGTTGTCGGACGACCTTTAACGAAGCCGTGTTGTTCGGGTGGAATGGAAGGCATTAATATTGGATATACGTTGTTATATACTATTTTCTCTAAAACTTTACTAAAAGTATTTAATATTGAAATTGGTCTGTAGTTTTCGATTTTGTTTTTCTGTCCTTTTTTGTGTATGGGTACTATATGTGCTTGCTTCCATAATAATGGAAGGCTTCCTTCTTTTAAAGATCTATTAAATAAGATTCGCAGGGGCACACAGAGTGAAGCGGCGCAATTGACTATAAAAACTGGTGGTATTTTGTCTGAGCCAGATCCTTTAGTCAAGTCTAAACTTTTAAGGCGTTTGTGCACCAACTCATCTGTTACCTGAATGTCGCTTATGATATTAGTAGATGATAGACATTTTCTTGAGGTATTAGTGTATGTTGAAGCAGGCTCGTTGAACATTTTTCTAAAGAAATCTGCAAACGCCATGCTTATGTCTTGGCCGCACTGCAGAGTGTTGTTGCCATATTGCATATATTTAGGATAGCCCGAACTTCTGTGACGTTTATTTTTAATGTAAGACCAAACAGCTTTGGGATTTGATTTAATTTTGTATTCAGATTTTTTTATATAGACCTTATGAAGTTCTTTAGCAAATTTTTTGCTCTGGTTCGCAAAAGTGCAAAGGCATCATAGTCGATTGGATTATGATGGAGCTTCCAAAAAGTGTGAAGTTTATTTTTTTCCTTTATGATGTTGATGAGAGCTTTATTATACCAAACAGGATACTGTTGCTTAGCTCTTTGGAACACACATGGGACGAACTTATTTATTAGGTCATATATTAGACTGTAGAAACACGATACAGCGTCCTCAAGTGACCCTATACTAAGTGTATCCTGCCAGTTTGTTTCCTCTAAATGCTTACAGATTTTCGGATAATCTGCCTTGTAATATAGGTATTTAAAATGTCCTTTGTGTGACATGCGAGGAGTCACGATCTTCCTGTACGAGCGGCGTAATCGATTTACTAACCTCTACAATAAAGTTGGTAAATATCAGGTCAAGAATATTATTGTGAGTGTTTACATGCAAGTTGTGCTGGTGAAGACCAAGAATACTAATCTGATTTAGTAAGTTCTCTGCAGAGTCTTGCAAATCGGTACAGCCCTTTTTCAACAGTGTGTGGCCATCCGATGTCCATTGAACACAAGGAAGATTGAAATCGCCACATATCAAAAACAAATCTTCTAGATTTGAGGACATAACAAAAGACAATAAAGCAGTGAAACTTTGTAAACGTGAGGCAACATGCTGTCTGGAGGTAGGTAAATTGCGCAAATGTGTAAGTTATGACTAGTGCCAAGGTCTCTCGCATCTATCGTAATCCAGAGACATTCAAGATTATCATGAGACCAATCGGGTTGAACCTTTGCAGAAAACCGTTCCGCAGTCAGAACCATGAAGCAAATACAAAGAGGAGACGTTGTAATTAAATTTCACTATGTAACAACGCGTGACAATTTGCGGGGTGAGGGGATGCAAAGCCCCGCCCACTACACTATCTACATCTACGGATAAATAGTAAAACTACTCGAATCTTTCCATATCTATGTTGCAATGTAGCTTAGCTACCTTGACGGTAGATGGCGGCGTGACCACAAAATGTTATAAACTTTAAAAATAACACTTTGGCGATTAAAATTTCTTTATGTCTGAATGCAAAGAAATTTCAGCACCTTCGTATGATTATTTTATCATTACTGAGCTCTACGTACCTTTATATTTTTAGTTCACAAGACACAAAGTGTCGCCATCTAGTGTTGAATATATTTAATTATATTTGAAAGCCGACGCAAAGAGAATTTTCTAGAACTATTTTAATAAATTAGGTGTAAAATTACTTACAAATGAAATGTGATGCCATCCATAGCATCGGAGCGTCTATCTCATGAAGCAAATACATTCAGACAAAGAAATTTTAATCGCCAAATAATATTTTTATAGTTTTCATAATAATCTTGGGAACAGGCCGCCATCTATCGTCAAGTAAACCTCATAAAAAATAACAAAAAGACAGGGCCGCAATTAGAATTCAATTATTTTACCCAGTAACCCAACATTCAATATTAAAATGAAGGAAATTGTACATGGCTGATTTTTACGAAATGTTTAAGTTATATTTAAGTGACATTCTATATGCAAAGAATCACTTAAATACAATTTAAATATGTTTATCATTTCGTGAAAGTCAACCAAGAAATATTTATTTTATCCATAAAGTCTCTTTGAAACTAAATATTCTATGTTCAATATTAAGTAGGATATTTAATTTGGAACTAAATATCCTACTTATCTCACTAATATTATAAACGCGAAATTTTGTGTGCTCTTTCTGTCTCCTTGAGCTTATTCCACACTAAGTATGTGTAATTTTTTCAAGCAGAAACGGCTGGATTATTATTTATGTGTGGGTTATACTACTTAATATCTCAAATAATAGACAAATTATTATAATTAATATAATTTTATTTACAAATCAATTAAAATATAAATATTTTATTCCAAACTAGGCATCCGAATGCACTTTTTGAATGCCAATCTAAGAACATTAAATTGTATTTAAGTGATTCTTTGCATATAGAATGGCACTTAAATATAACTTAAACATTTCGTAAAAATCAGCCTAAGTACAATTTCCTGCATTTAATATTAAAAGTTCGATTACTGGGAAAAATAATTGAATTCTAATTAGGGCCCTGTCTTTTTGTCATTTTTATGAGGTTTACTTGATGAGAATACGGCCTGTTCTCAAAATGATTATAAACTATAAAAATGATATTTTGCGATTAAAATTTCTTTATGTCTGAATGCAAAACAAATTTCAGCACCTTCGTATGATTATTTTACCAATACTGAGCTCTACCTTTACATTTTTAGTTCACATGACACAAAGTGTCGCCATCTAGTGTCGAATATATTTAATTATATTTGAAAGCCGACGCAGAGATTTTTCTAGAACTATTTTAATAAATTAGGTGTAAAAATATTTACAAATGAAATGTGATGCCATCCATACTATCTGAGTAGTATTTACACAATAAAACACAACACTTCATCCTTTTCTTCTTAATACTACGAAAATACACCGATTTGCGATTTTTTCAACACATAAGCGCACAGGACGAATGCTGACATAATACTAACTAATGATGTATACTAACTAAAGCCACGCCCACTATGATGACGTCAGGACCTACTTAGAATCACAGTGCACAGTTGCTTATGCCGTCTCCCCTTTGTATTAGCTTCATGGTCAGAACTATAACGCCGCCACCACGTCTATTGCCGCCGCCATCCCGGCGAAAGATATTGTACCTACCGTCGGAGAGCTCCGCATCAAGAATACCGTCGTGCAACCACGATTCTGTAACTATTATTATGTCACTATTATTGTTCAAGATGTTGTTGTAGAACTCATGGGTTTTTGTTCTTAGACCCCTTACATTTTGGTATTGCAGATTCAAACTATTTGGTTTAATTTTATTGTATGTGAATTGTCAACTTAATACATTTATGTAGTACATACAGTTTTGTTATGTGATATTTGTAAGTAAGCATAATATATAAAGTGTGCTTATTAGAGTCGCAACTAGTGAATTGTGTATGTGTCAGTGATACGTATAATATGTTTTGACATGGTTTAATGAACAAGGTGTGTGTGTAGTTTATGTGTATGTGTATGTTTAGATAAAGTTTTAATTTTAAGACTTTACAAAAATACAAAAAGCTAACAAACCAAAAGATAATTAACGATGAAGATATATGTAGTTGGTTTAACAAACTAAGTGAGACTACACAATTTTTTTCAAATCTGAAGCTGTGGAGATTAACAGTGGAGGTGAGCTGTCGTTGCGTCGTACGTAAATCCGACAGTTTTTGTCCATACGTAACGATAAGCAGATTCTTTGGCTTTTGCTTTTGCTTCAAGGAGAAGTTTTTTGTTACGTGGTGTTAGATGCTCGTTCGCATAGATGACTTTGGGGTCGCCAGTGGCCAATATATCTTTAGTCGATAAGTTCCTACATTTTCGCACTGCAGACAAAAATGTGTCTTTATTGAGGCGCGATTTGAAGCGCGCGATGATCGTGCGCTGGTGGTTGTTGGATGATCGCTGTGGTTTAACTCTGTGAGCGAAATCTACATCAGCTTCTAATAATTTGTGGCCAGCCTTTTCTGCTATTTTTGTAAGAATGTCTATAAGACATTCGTTGCTTTTTTCTGGTACTTCTACAATTTCCACGGTTTGCTGACGGACCCACTGTTCTTGCTTAGCAAAATCGTGTTCGATTGTCGAGATCTTTTTCTGCATATCCTTAAAATCGCTGCGGAGAGAGGAGTTTTCTGTTTTTAAGCACTTGGTGTCCTCAGATGCTACGGATATGGACTTCATTATATCATCGTACTTGTCACCGATATATTTTATTGATTTTTCTAGTTCACTGATGTTATCCCTAATAGCTTGGAATTCTTTGCAGTTAAGATCTTTAATAATACTAGGCACTTCATTCCTAATTATGTCCAATATATCTTTGCGCATTTTGTTAGCAAACTCTGAGTCGAAGAGATTTAAGCAGTCCGGAGAACGCGGACGACGACGTCGAGTCTTTACGTAATCATCCCTGCTTTCTGCTCCATCCTCGTCATCCGAACACTGCATAACCCTTACGGGTGTGTCGCTATTGTTTCCCTTCGGTTGTTTGGCCTTGAAACTAGGGCACTTCCAGGATACATTTTTTTTAAATTGTCAGCCTTTAAGCCCACACACAGATAATGGTATAGCTTATTACACGTTTTTTGGGTGCACATTATACTTTCTGTGGTTTTTACATTCTTTTTGCATGCATTGCAATTGCTCATTTTGCTTATAAAAACGTTGTTGGTTTTGAAGGTGTACTGATTAACTACAGGTAGATAATAATAAATAATAAACACTTATCTGTGAGCGTATTAGTTACTCGGCGTGGAGTTTGCGAACAAAAAGTCGCAAGCGCCGTGTATTCCGTGTCGCTTACGCGTTTCACCACACAAGTTATGCCGTCGGTAATACACACAATAGTTTTGCACTAACACTTGTAATTTTTAATTATTACTTCAAGATATGGTATTTCCTTTCAATAATGTATTTTGTAAATGATAGTTAGCACTGTACTAAAATCTATTAGGTAAGAATATTTGCTCAAGAAGGGTATTTAACCATTAAAAAGAATTTTTGAATCGGAGCTAAACAATAACACTGCGCTCTGTCAACAATGCTGTGACATTTATTTCTATATGCGCCTTTTAATAACTATGTCAACTTAAAATTTTGTAATAAGTGAAATGTATGAATTGCTGATGGTGTTCCGAACAAAATAGATAAATAAATGGGGAAGGCCTATGTTACCAGCAGTAGATTTTAGATAAATCACCCCTGAGGACTAAGATGGAATGCCTCACAGCCTATATTTGCTCTCACCGATAGTGCTCTTAACCGCCAGCAGGTGGCGCTGGTCACTGCCGTAGCTGTCGCTGAGCACTCGCTCAGCGGATACTAGGGACACTTCACTCACTCACTCACTCACTCGCTCACTCACTCACCGGTAGTGCCCTTAAGCGCCAGCAGGCGGTGCTGGTCCCTGCCATAGCTGTCGCTGAGCGCTCTCTCGGCGGCGGCCAGGCGATGTGCAGCATCAGAGGCCGCGCCTACGCTGCGTAGACCGGCGTAGCACCACGCGATGTCCAGCTGGAGGATGCCCCAGTTGTCCACGGTCTGCAGCAACGACGAACGGCACTCGCTGCGAGTGGATGTATTTTTTTTTTCATTTTATATTTTCATAAATACGTTACCACCGCACTAAAATTTTCTCCTGTATCATGGAAGCAATTTACATACACAAATTTTACAGACGAACATCCAGATCCGGAACAATTATTTGTAGTAAAAAATATTTTGATGTATTATAAACTGTTACCGATCCAGTCAATAAGTATATCTACTTTTTGTTCATTAGCCCGCCCATGTTAGCAACGCCGCTGTGACATAGTGAAGTATTAAGCTGAACGTCCACCGTAAACTAAACTCACTTTATCTTAGCTCGCATAGCTGAGCCAGTTTTTCATACATGTGCGTCCACCGCAAGCTATGCGCGAGCTAATCCAGGTAAAATAGCCAAACTAAGTCAAACTAACTTAGTTGTGTAGGCCGATCCGAAACTAAGCGAAATAAGCTGTTGCCTTTCGCTTAGTGCTGTTTCTTTTAGCTAATTTTTCGGTGGACGTGCCACGATTTTGTCAATCGACGGATTCAACTCGGCTGGGCAGCGTTCTGGAAACTACGACACATCTCGTTAGACATACCTCAAAACCTGAAAACGAAATTGTATAACTAGTGCGTGTTGCCAGTGATGACTTACGGATCTGAGACGTGGTCCTTCACTGCTGGCCGTATGAGGAAGCTCAAGGTCGCTCAGCGAGCTATGGAGAGGGCTATGTTCGGGGTTTCTCTGCGTGATAAACTTACAAATGAGGATATCCACAGTAGAACCAGAGTAACCGACATAGCCCAACGGATTAGTAAGCTGATGTGGCAGTGGGCCGGCCATATAACTCGAAGAATCGACAACCGATGGGGAAGAAAGGTTCTCGAGTGGCAGCCTCGTAACGGTAGGGGAAGTGTAGGGCGACCCCCCACTAGATGGAGTGACGACCTGGTAAGACATGCAGGAAGTCTATGTTCAGCAGTGGACTTATGAAAGGCTGTAATGATGATGATGATGATGATGTGCCACGATTTTCCTGGTTAGCTTAGCTTAGTTCACTGAGCCTAGTTTTCATACAGTTTAGTTCGCAGCGGACGTTCGGCTTTAGGCATAAGTGCAAAAATAAGTGTAGAAAATAAGTGTATCTTATTAGTAGACGATGAGAAGAGTTGTACGTTGTAGAGCGATGCTGCAGTTATATTATAGTTGTAGCACGAATGGGTCAGCTCGACCGGGGTAGGACCACGCTCTCATAGAATACCAGCGTAAAATAGCAGCATAATGCTGCTGAGTTTCGTATGGTGAATGTAGAGAAACGGAGACCGGTTTTATTTTAAAAGACGCATTCCATATTAGTCCTCAGGGGAGACAACGCATTTGCATTTCGATTCTTAATCGAGGATAAAATGTAGAGGTCTTTGAGCCACAGGGTCTACTTGATGACTGATTACCGCCGCCCAAGAACAACTGCAACACCAGGGGAATTGCAGATGCGTTGCCGGCCTTTTAAAAAGGAGTACGCTCTTTTCTTGAAGGTTCCTAAGTCGTATCGGTCCGGAAAAATCTCTGGTAGTAGTCGATTCCACAAGGAAGTTGTGCGAGGAAGAAAACTTCTTTTAAATCGCACAGTATGTGGACCGCCAGTCATCCCGATGGTATGGATGGTATCGCGAGTTTTGTCGCGATGTGCGATGATGAAACTGTGCAGCTGGAATTAGTCCGAACTATTCCTCAGAGCACTCCCCGTGGTAAATGCGATAAAATACGCAAAGAGATGCAACATCTCTTCGCAGTGCCGGTGAGTCAGTCAAGCCGATCGGAAAGAGTTCGGCCGCCGACGATTCGAACAGCTCTGCGCGATGCGACCAAATGGAAGGAGCTGGCACTGGGGAGACCCAGCACAGAGATGGGAACAGTATTCCATGTGAGGCCGAACCTCCACCTTGTAAAGTCGCAGGCGGTGTGCTGGCATGAAACACTGCCCGCTCTGCTGAGCACAACAAGCTTTTTAGAGGCCAATTTGGCCTTCTCTTCCAAGTGACCACGAAACTGCACGTCACTCGATATGTCGATGCCGAGAATTCCGATAATGGCTGAGGCAACAAGGGGAGTGCCTTGAAACTGAGGAGATACTACGAAGGGGTTCTTTTTAGCGGTAAACCCGCAAACTTGTGTCTTCTGGGGATTGAACTGGACTAGATTTAGTCGCCCCCAGTCCGAAACTTTGTTCAACAAAGTCTCGAATTCAGACAAAAGTTTGTCCCGGTACTCGGCGACATTTTCCTGAGAAATATTGGAACGGCCGGTGTATAAAGCATCACCAGTGCAGTCATCCGCATAGAAAGAAAGCGATATTTATTTGGCCATTTCAACTAACCCATACTAACCACCAAGACCTCTCCCTTGGACTCTACTGCCTCCGCCCATCTATATTGTATGCAGGAGAAACAGCGTTGGCACTCAGCCTTGTGGAACACCAGCGTTAATGGGCTTGTAATCGGAGCATGCACCGTCTGCTGCGGCCTTGATGCTCCGATGTGCAAGAAAACTGGTGATACAATTGCACAATTTCTCGGGAAACGCATAGGAAGGAAGCTTTGTAAGAAGCGCTTTGTGCCAAAACCAAACTAGTAAAAATAAAAACGTCTTATCGCATTCAGTGTCTAAAATTTCTAAATAAGCGCTTTTGAGTTAAAAACTATAGAAAGTGTAATATTAGAATGCCCTAAACCACCCTTTACGCACAGTTGAATTCAAACACGGTCGCTTGAGTTATACTATAATTAAGGCAGTTCACTCGATAAGGTATGCGAACAATCGCTTCAGTGACACTATAGGGTCAGTCCGCCCGACAAGGTGTGCGAGTGATTAAGTTTTTTACTACGGTGGACCATATGACAAATAATTGAAATATTTTTTTTCATAGGATAAGGGTGACAAACGAACGCACAGTCCACCTGATGGTAAATGGTTGCTGTGGCCCATAGAAATCTACATTTATCCTCGATTACGAATCAAAATTCAGATGCGTTGTCACCCGTGAGTACTAAGATGGAATGCCTCGTTTCCAGTAAAAAGGGTCTCCGGTTCTCTACACTTCACCATACGAAACACAGCAGCATTTAGCTGCTATTTTACGCTCGTACTCTGTTAGAGCGTGGTCCTTCCCCGGTCGAGCCGACCCATTCGTGTTACAACTATACCAGAAATATAGCTGCAGCATGGCTCTACCACGTACAAAGTTAAAATTACACGTGGAAACATATGCTATCACAAGTTCAGTACTGAACATAAGCCTTCTCCATTGATTGCTTCATATTGGGGATATTTGTTAATCAGGCAGATGGGCTGGCAACCGCAGTTTTAGTTTTCAGCAATTTCACTTAACATTCTGAAACTTCATTTCTATATATGATAGCCAGAAAAGTATTTTAAAACGTTTTACAAGAAAGTAGACCGATCCAAGGGTGAGACATGTAGTAATATCTAGGAAATGATTGATCACCTGGATCGGCGATCATAGTATATACTAACGTCGTCAGAAAATAACTGACGTCTGGTGACCCTAGGATCTTGGACTATAAATAACACTTTATTTTTAAACAAAAAAGGAACAAAACTAAAAGTGGCAAAATGGCACACACTAAAACAATCGCTACAAGCGATTTCTTCCAGACCACCTTTGGATGGACAGGATGCAAGGGAACAGAAAAACGTGTGTGATTTTGCGAAACGAGGTTTTTTTCGATTGTTATCGAAAACTGTCGCGTCTTATGGCACCCACGGATCGATATGGAGTGGTGAATATTCTTACACTGCCTTCTTTGGATGTGAAAGAATTTCTTTCACATTTCGTACAACAAGAGATGTGTGTGAGGATCGTGCCAAATAGAAGTCCGTAGTTTCTGTCTACCCCTTTGGGTAAAAAGCGTGAGAGTTTGTTTGTCCGTCGTTTATACCTTTAGTGCAAAAAAGTGATAAAAAATAGATTATTAAAAAATGTCTATATAGCTGGGTAAAGCTTACTTGAAGTGCGTATCGGCCTCTAGAAGCAAGATCAAAGCAAGTGAATAATCTTTTTGCTTAATAGCCGCCCGACCTCGTTCGTGCAGCGCCATCCCCACTAGCAAGGCTTTCCTCTCTTCAGGAGGCAGCTCCACCGTCCTTCCTGATTGGTCTTCAAGCTGTAAATTTCATATATTACAATTCTAATTTATTATATTTACGCAGATACCAAGAACCGACAACCGATGGGGAAAAAAGGTTCTCGAGTGGCGGCCTCGTACCGGCGGACAAAGTGTAGGGCGTCCCCCCACTAGATGGAGTGACGACCTGGTAAGATATGCAGGAAGTCTATGGATGCAGGTGGCTCAGGATTGCTTTGTGACATTCCTTGGGGGAGGCCTATGTTCAGCAGTGGACTTGTGAAGGGCTGTAATGATGATGACACAGATACTAAACATTAAATTAAACTAATTTTACGTATTTTGTCGCGTTTAATTAAAACTTTTTAATTCTTGATATTTTACATGGGATTACGAATGATGCATTGATGAGAGTGACAAACGAGCACACAGTCCACCTGAAGGTAAGTGGTTGCTGTGGCCCATAGATATTTACATCTATCCTCGATTACGAATCAAAATGCGGAGGACTAAGATGGAATGCCTCGTTTCCAGTAAAAAGGGTCTCCGGTTCTCTACACTCACCATACGAAATACAGCAGCGTTAAGCTGCTATTTTACGCTGGTATTCTGTGAGAGCGTGCTCCCAGAGTTGACCCATTCGTGCTACAACTATACTACTAATACAGCTGCAGCATGGCTCTACTACGTAAAAAATTGACCATGAGTGCTGTAAAAAATCCGAAACGTCTTGAATTTGCAAGTTAAAACCCGTTAAATTAATTTCCATTAATATTATATACAAGCTGGAATACCACCACAGTAAGAAAATTCACTATTCCATATCATCCCATATCATCCCGTGGCGAGAGAGGGAAATGTAACAGGAGATGGGCAGCAGCATCTTTCTGATAACAGCTAATAATGATAAATAAGCGCGGTTACCAACCCGCCTGTTTAAAAAGGCAAAAATATCCTATAAACAAAATATAATCCTTACGGGTGACAATGCATCCGCATTTCGATTCATAGTTGAGGATGGACTTAGATGTCTATGGGCCACAGCAACTACTTATCATCACATGGACTGTGTGCTTTTTTGTCACCCTTATCCAGTAAAAAAATATTCCCCCGCGACTTCGTCTCCGTGGAATGTATTACGATTGGATTACATGGGTTTTAATGTTTTCTGTTTCTGGAACACTATTTTTCTTAAATGAATGTATTTTTTTTAATAGGATTAGGGTGACAAACGAGCACACAGTCGTCGTGATGGTAAGTCGTTACTGTGGCCCATACACATCCTCCATTACGAATTAAAATGCAGAAGCATTGTCACCCGTGAAGACTAAGATGGAATGCCTCGCTTCCAGTAAAAAGGGTCTCCGGTTCTCTACACTCACCATACGAAACACAGCAGCGTTAAGCTGTTATTTTACGCTGGTATTCTGTGAGAGCGTGGTCCTACCCTGGTCGAGCCGACCCATTCGTGCTACAACTATACAAGTAATATAGCTGCAGCATGGCTCTACCACATATAAAATTATGTAAATATGTAGCCTAAGTTACTCCATTTAACATCAGCTATCTGCCAGTAAAGTCCCGTCTAAATCGGTCCCTTCAATGTAGGCCATTTCGGAGATTAGCCGAAACAAACAGACAGAAAGACCAACACACAAACATTTTAAAAACTGTTTTATGTTATAAGTGCCGTATATACTTTCATATGCATTTAGCAAAAAGCTATTATTTTGACATTAAAAACACACTTTTTATTTATTTGTAAAGATATAGATTAGTTGTCTGAGTACGTACAAGCCTCTCATCTATTTCTGCCACCAAATGGCGGAGCTTGCAGTGGCAGTGGTATAGAGAGCCAATATACTTGAAGGTTGTGAGGCTTTCCATCTTGGTCCTTATATGTACGTGTCCATGGACAGCAGTAGCCACTTACCATCTTGGCTATAAGTTCGATTGTCACTTCAGTCTTATAAAAATAAAAAGAACTAAACATTATCCCATACGAGTATACCCTGTAATGTCTGCTATCTTCTCTAACCACTATAGTGTAACACAGGCTCGGCACGCACTTTAACTAAACAAGACGTCCACTCTCGCCCGAGGCTCTCGTGTAACTGACGCGGTGCGCTCGAGACAGTGACTTATATATAAATGTATGTTTGTGTATTTGTGCATGGTAAATTATTAGTAAATAACACAAATAACAATATTTACTGTATACTACATATATGCAAACACTACATCTCTTTCTTATCAAGATTTTTTTCTTTTTTTCATTATAACTCATAACAATCACAAAGCAGCTTGTATTGTCTGTATTAATTATTTTCCACTGCTTTTACGTAAACCTTATCCCCTGTATTACATCCGAGTGAATTGCTCTCCGTTTCCTATATACATACTCTTTTCCTTTTCCTTTTTTGTATTTTGTCTCTATCCCTGATATCTGAATCTAAATGATTGTCTGTAATTTATTTCACCTATTGATGGAATTTTATCCCTACTTTTTCGTTGAAAAAACAGTTCAGACGGTAACCTCCCGGTAACTGTAAGGAGGGGTGCTGTTATACATAAGAAGATACTGATACGAAGACGTTTCAAATATCTCTGTTTTGTCTTTCAACTTCGCCGATCATTTGAGGCCAATATAGTACAGTACTAAATAACTTAATGTTACATTCTTTGCAGAAGGATCGAAACTCTTCACTTACGAACTGCTTGCCATTGTCTGCGGTGATAGAAATAGGATAACCAAGTCTACTGAACATTTCTTTTACCATTTTAATAATCTGTAAGCTTGTGATGTTTTTGTAATTGTTTACTTCTTTGTATCGACTATAGTAGTCGACCACTACTAACAGATACTCGTTACTTGGCAACGGTCCCATTAGATCCATTGTGACATCTATCCATGGAGCTGCAGGCAACTCTCGTCTCTTCATTGGTGCAGTTGGGTTTGGCAAACCCACTAACGTACAACCTTTACAAGCCTTTACTAATTGTTCTACGTCTTTACGGGGCCACCATACCTTTGATCTCCAGCGTCCCTTCATCGCTACGATACCTGGATTACCCTCGTATGCAGCATCTAATACACTCTTGCAGAGTTGCTGTGGTATTACAATTTTATTTCCACGAAGTAGAATGCTATCATGGAAACAACTCGTTTTCAAAAAATTTTGTAACTCTTAATCGAATCGTCTTAGTCGTTTTGATAGACACCTTTTTTCACTTTGTAATTCTCTTGTTATTTTTCTGAATATGCTGCAATGGAACTCTTTGGTATAGCAACTGGTCTAGAATTTTCCACTATTTGGTACACATGCTGGTCTTTTCCTTTTGGTGGGTTATCAGGATAGTTACATAATCGTGACAAGGGATCAGCTATATTTGTTTTTCCTGGCTTGTATATAACCTTGAATGAATAAAACTGTAGCCTCAGTATCCATCGTTCAATCCTCGCACATGGTTTTGACTTAGACCCGAACAATATCTCTAGCGGCTTGTGGTCAGTGACTAAATCAAAAGGCTTTCCAAATAAAAATATTAAAATGTTCGACCCCCCAAACTAATGCTAGTGCCTCTTTTTCCGTTTGGCTATACCTGCGCTCGCAGTCTGTCAAAGTTCGATTACCATAGGCAATAATTCTAGGGCCATTTGTATCATTTTGTACAAGGACAGCACCAAGTCCGACAGGGCTAGCATCTGCTATCACCTGTCTTGCATCTCTGACGTCATAATACCCTAAAATCTGTATTTCCGTGAGCATCGGTTTGAGTTTTTGGAATGCTTTATCTTGTTCCCCAGACCATTGTTTTTCCAAGCTCTCCCTTTTGCTCATCTTCTGTCTTAACAGGTGCTTCAGAAGTTCTGTCATAGCGGCCATGTTAGGTATCCATTTGTTTATGTAGTTAAGGAGTCCTAAAAAACTTTGGAGTTCTTCTATGGTCTTTGTGACCCTAAATTAAAGGTTTGTACTTGTTGAAGGGTTTATTTACTCCTTCATGTGTAAGCCTGTGTCCCAGAAAATTCACATTCTGCGTTTTATATATGCATTTATTGCTATTCAGCACGGCGTTGTTTTTACTAAGTACCTGTAGAACTTTCTTTAGTCATGCGTCATGTTCTTCTTCACTGTTCCCGAATACCAGGATATCACAATAAAATTGACGACCCCTTCACAGTTTATCAGTATCCTTTTAATGATCTTCTGAAAAATCTCGGAAACGCAGGTAATTCCAAGCATTATTCTTTTATATCTATATAATCTTTTGGGGGTTATAAAAGTCGTTATGTATCTGGATTCAGAGTGAATTTCCACTTCATGGAAGGCATTTTTTTATGTCTTAATTTATTAAAATATTTAGCTTTCTTCATTTTAGGCAAAAATGGTCCATAGTAGGCAGGGGGTGGTTTTCTTGCAATATAACGGCGTTCGTACATCTCATATCTACGCACAAACGTAATTCACCATTTTCTTTCATGATTGGAACATTGGTGAAACCCATTTAGACGGGCCTTGCACTTCTTCAATTATATCACTGTTTAGTGATTCCTTAATTTTGATTGCAACCTTCTCTTTAAAGGGGATCGGCTTGCTTTTACTCTCCACTTGATTTATCCCGATACCAAGTTTTAAGACACCCAGTCGGACTGCTGTGTTCTTACCAAACAGGTTTCTAGTACCCCCCGAAATCACGTAAATGGTTGTATTCCTTTCGTCCATCGACTTCGAGTATAGTTTCAAATGAACCCTCTATTGCCAAAGGAGAGTTACTACCCTATGCTAATAATGTCTTGTCTGGTCTTTACATTTGATTAAAAGCATATACTTTTTTGCTTTTTAACTCTTCCCACGTTTTGTAAGATATAAGGTTCTTGCACAATTTCGAATTACACTTTTCCACAATTTGATCTATGAAATGATCATCTTGCTTTTCAATGCACACTTTTCGGCTTGTTGACGCAATCTTATCAAAAACTTCTCAAATGTCTTTCCTTTTTTCTGTTTTAGCAATCGAAAAACATGCCGCTCATAAACTTTGCTCCGTTTAGGTTGAAAATACTCGTAGTTTTTTTTTTTGCTACTTAAAATACATCAACGGTTTCTTATATTTTTTTTCCAATATAATGCTGGTATTTTAATACCCAAAGTCCAATTTAATGGTAGTAACTTAGTACCCAAAGTCCAATTTAATGGTAGTAACTTAGTACCCAAAGTACAATTTAATGGTAGTAACCTAGTACACAAAGTCCAATTTAATGGTGGTACATACCTTAGTACCCAAATTCCAATTTAATGGTGGTACATACCTTAATACCCAAGCTCCAATTTAATGGTGGTACCTACCTTAGTACCCAAGTTCCAATTTAATGGTGGTATCTTAGTACCCAACTCAATTTAATGATGGTATCTTAGTACCCAACTCAATTTAATGATGGTATCTTAGTACCCCACTCAATTTAATGATGGTATCTTGGTACCCAAACTCAGTTTCATGATAATAATATGTTCCATAACACTCGCCCTTCTCTTTTGGTTTATTTGTTATACCGACTACTCCCATCGCTGTGCCATTTAGGCTTTGGGTAAATTCAATACCTATATTGCGCATTTACCATTATTGATAACTTAGACAGCAATACCCTCGAGAAACGCCGTGATATAAGAGATCAAATGTTGTTGTACAAATTGCTTCATAATATCATCGACTCTCCCCTACTTTTAGGCAAGGTGAATCTTGCGTGTCACAGGTTAGGTGCACGAAATAAACCACTTTTTGCATTACCTAAAGTTAAAACAAAAAATGCCTCAAATAATTTTGTATCTCGTACATGCAAAAAGTTTAACTTAAAATATTGTAAATATTAGATATTTTTCACCTTGAATATGATAGTTACAAATAAAATATTGTAAAACTTAATATATAATTGGTAGTATCACTTTGAGTTGTATATATAATGTTATTTTTAACTACTTACTACTTAATGTTTTAATTTATGAATACCATTTAGCTTGTTTTATTCTTTTATATTTTTAATTTTATACAACATAATATGGTGGTTTGCTTTTATTATGTATTAGATATCTGTGGAAACTTCATTGGTTTTTAGGATTACTTTTAATGTTTTATTATGTAATTTATTATTGTACTGTACGTTTCCCTTAAAAAGCAAATAAATAAATAAATAGTATTACTAGTTACCTACTTTGCAATGTACAGAAGTCGTGAAGTGTCCACGATTTTTTGTAAGACATATATGCCATGAAAGCAGTAAAATAGTATTTTCATTAAAGGCGATAAATATCACACCTACATGTAAAATGCCACTAAAATTTAGCTAACGACATTGTATTTAGGTTCGAATCGAGAGGAGTGATTAGTAACATCTACTATTTTTCCATCAAAAATCTTTTAAATAAAAGTTGTACTAATAGACATATGTTAAAATAAATCATTATTTTATCATTGCTACATAAAGAAAATAAATTTTTGCACACCATAAGCGTGGTCATTTGCGAACATATAATTTATATATGTTATTAAAATGATCAGAACAGGGTTAAAAACAATAAATCATAATTCATAATCCACAGTTTTTTTTTCCGCGGGTACTCTAGGAATTAATTTACAATTGCAATTCTAATAGTTGCACATTGCTAACCTATTTTTGATTATATCTTTATACTAAATAGGTACTTATCTTTTTCCTCGTCGCCACTTGTAATGTCTGCTATCTTCTCTAACCACTATAGTGTAACCACAGGCTCGGCACGCACTTTAACTAAACAAGACGTCCACTCTCGCCCGAGGCTCTCGTGTAACTGACGCGGTGCGCTCGAGACAGTGACTTATATATAAATGTATGTTTGTGTATTTGTGCATGGTAAATTATTAGTAAATAACACAAATAACAATATTTACTGTATACTACATATATGCAAACACTACATACCCCATCTTTATAATCCATATTATATACAATCCATACAAACACTTGTAACGTGCGGAATTCAAACCCGATTGCTTCTTTCAATTTGTTTTTATTTTTAAAGACTGTTATTTTTAAAATTATTTATACTATATTATTACTACAAACTAACCATATACTATATAATTATATTCCAATCACCTTTATATATTCATCGTCATCATCATTCACGTCATGTACATACTCCGAGAGTAAGGCTGCGTCATCTCTAGTTTTTTTCATCTCTATATACATTTTGTCTTCTTTTTTCACTTCCTCTGGAGTTGCTAAAAAAACACTAGCCTATTAAAAAACATAACATGATAGAAGTAATGAGGGCTTATAATTTAGCTTTCACCAGATGTCTCTAGTTGGGACTGTGTTGACATTATTTATTACACGGTGTCACCATAAATGAAGTTGCGTTTTAAATAAAAGTTTTCGGTTTCTAGTACAGTACATACCCAAAACAGTGTCTAAGTTGTAACGTTTTTTAGAATAAGGATGACAAACGAGCACAGAGTCCATCTGATGGTAATGGGATGCTGTGGTCCATAGATATCTACATTTATCCTCAATTAAGAATCAAAATGCAGATGCGTTGTCACCCCTGAAGACTGAGATGGAATGCCTCATTTCCAGTAAAAAGTGACTCCGGTTCTCTACACTCACCATACGATAAAACAGCAACATTAAGCTGCTGTTTTATACTAGTCAGGGGACAACCCTAGTTTCTAACCAACTTTACTCCAGCTTCATGCTCTACTCTACAACATACTCTTGGTGTGGAATAAAGTTAATAAAGCGCTGAGCCGAGTTTACGTAGGTCGATTATTCAATTACTAATGTGTTTTATTGTACCTTCCATACAAGTTATACACAAGTGGTTATTTTTTTATTATATTTTTACTTTTAGCAATATCTGTAGTTTAATTTGTTCATTATAATTTAATTAATATAAAATATAACTAATATTTCAGAGAGATACAATTACTATTAACATTACAGCCTAGTAAAAGTTCTAATAATTATAATGATTTTGTTAGCAACATTTTAAAATTCTTTGGTGAAAATCTATGTTTACATCTAATGTTTAATTTTATTTAATGCTTTAATTACAGATATTATTAATTTAATATATGCAATAAAAAAAAGTATAAGAAAGAAAAACTAAAACTGGTAACTTAATTATCATACAGTCCTACTCCCTGCAGTATCATGCCGAGAATGCTGGCTGCGTTTCCCCGCTGAATGGCTATACTTAGCCTTTGAGCGAGAAAAGAATCAGCCCTCTTATCACCAGCAGCAACGACCAGCCGTGGATGGAGTTCCTTTAGGAACTTCACCGAGACTATGGATCCCACGGACCCATAGTGTCTACAGCAAATGGTACAAATATGTAGTCGTCTCTAAAGAGACTCATATTTGTGTCACTTACTCAGTTCAGCTGCCTCTGATACCTCCCAGGCTCTAAACGAGGTACCCCTGAGATGAGATGCCACCAGTGTCTATGCAAATAGCATCACACACTAGGGCTTTAACTCTATCCCAAGGCACCAAAGATAAAATTATACATAAATTTTATCTTTCCGCAGTCCTTCTTCATAGCAACTTTAACTATGCCAAATCTCAAACTACTCCATGTGCACAATATGCTTAAAAAGGGGTACAAAGATTACCCTTCACTTATTAATATATAGATAATATTTTTGTTTTGACACTTACTATCTAGAACCAGAGCCATCAGCTGGTTGCCATTTTTGAGATTTTGTTCCTGAAGACTTAAACTCTGCTTTACTATTTGGCCATTGGAGATGAGCTTCAATCTGTAAACAATATAAAAAAGGTAATTATATTCTTAATATTCTTAAAATTTAATTTAAAAGGACAGGTGCCCATATCACTCACTAAAAGGTTACAAATTATAAATTTGTGGTTTTATAAGGTAATCTATGGGAGAGGTCTACATTCCACATTGGATATTTGAAAGGCTGTTTGTGATTACCACTGATTTTTTATTAACATTTTAAATCCTTTTTTTTATAGGATAAGGGTGACAAGCGAGCACACAGTCCACCTGGTAGTAAGTGGTTGCTGTGGCCCAATAGTCATGTACATTTATCCTTGATTACGAATCAAAATGTGGATGTGTTGTCACCCGTGAGGACTAAGATGAAATACCTCATTTCCAGTAAAATGAGTCTTTGGTTCTCTACACTCGCCGTATGAAACACAGCAGTATTGAGCTGCTATTTTACGCTGGTATTCTGTGAGAGTGTGGTCTTTCCCCGGTTGAGCCGACTCATTTATGCTACAACTACACTACTGATATAACTGCAGCATGGCTCTTCCACATACAAATTAACAAAATATATAGAAAATTACCTCGACCCTTGTATTCCGAGTTCATTAGCAACAGCATTAATCAAATCTGTTCCAAGTACATTCAACATCTTCTGTATCTTTATGATCTTGGGTTTCTCTTTCAGTGTTATCACTTTAACCCTGAAGGTTGCCTTTCCCGTCTCTTTAAATTCATCATTGGCCTTAACTCTGTCCATCGAGTGAAGTTGCAACTCATGCAACGCATTAAGAACATGTTCTGGATCAAGTGCCAGATCAGCAGCATACTTTTTAGCTAATTCCTGTAAAAGTAAAGGCACAACTTTCAATATAGCAGAACTGAGAGAGTTTTTATTTAAATTTTGCACATGGGACAAATAACAGTTCATAGCATAAACCCTAAATATTTTACTAAGTCTTATTTTAAAATCTTCTTAGATTAAAAAACAATTTAAATAAGAAATACAAAGTGTATATGCAAGCGGTGAATGTGTCACATATGCTATAGTCGAACACAAAGGCACACACAGTACACAACTCACATATTATGCATATATATAACTATTCACCACTCTGGTGCTTATTTTTATATTTGGTTGAAATAGTTGCTACAAGGGAAAAGACAGCTTTGCTCATATTCATATTTACCTCAGTTCAAATTCACAAGTGATATATGAACAGATAAGCATTAGCTATTAGGGAGTCTAAAGGCTTTTAGTATATTTATTATTTAATTTATAAAGCAAATTTGTAATCTACTGTTTAAAAACAAAATCAACTCAATTAATTGCTAAGAAATTATACCATATAAAGCTGTTTTTTTATTTAATAAAAGCTGAAGAGACATACATCTTACAGTCTGATGTCCTTGGACACATGCAGTAAATGTCAAAGGCTAAAGATGCATTGTCACCCTGGAGGACTAAGATGGAATGCCAGTAAAGGGATGGTACCTACCTAGACAGACTCCTAGACAAAAAAGAATCCTAGAAAGATTATTGAAAGATTATTTTTAATAGAATAAGCTTGACAAACGAGCTCACAGTCCACCCGATGGTAAGTACCTGGTAAGTATGGTGGATCATAAACATCTTCATTTATCCTCAATTAAGAATCAAAATGCAGATGTGTTGTCACTCCTGAAGACTGAGATGGAATGACTCGTTTCCAGTAAAAAGGCTATCCGGTTCTCTGTACTCACCATATGAAACACAGCAGCGTTAAGCTGCAGGCTTTACCATGTAAGTTAAAAATTATAAAAAATACAACAGTATTAAAATAGCAGTTTAAACTTTTATGTTAAATGGGGTTTATTATTCACAGCATACTTGCTCACCTTTATTCTAACAATTGAAAATCATAAAAAAAGTTATGTTTAAGAATGAATAGAATTTAAGTCACGTCTAAATTCATTACGGTTTACTTATACGTGATTAACGAAATTTATTCCCTAAGCTAGCACAGAATGTATGTAAAGGTTTCTGTGATAAAATTAATTATTGAATAATCTACATAATACAAAAATAAATTAGCAATAAACCTGTAAGCTTGGTGAAAATGTTTTGTCGGCATTCAAGTACGGTGGTTCCCATAATTTTATTTTCTCCTCGTTTAATTTGCTGCGGAGTTTAATCAACAAGTCTTCGTGCTGGAGATTTGTCTCCATAATTGTTATTAGATAATTATTCAAGGTAATGATATGCAGATTATTTGATTGATATCAAAATAAAAATACAGAACAGTCAGTCAGCAGCAGACAACTTTTTTAAATTATATAAGGACTAAGGGATCTATGTCCATACAGCCCAGTGTTACCAGATGAGACAAATGATATTACAGTGTTTCATGCTCAAATTTACAGTGTTTACGACAAAATTACAGTAAAAGTAAAAAAAAATACAGTGAATTTTACAGTAGATTTCAAGAAACTTTTATTATCTTTTATAAACTAAAATACTGTTTTAATTTCACCTTTTGTAATTTAGAATAAGCATAATACCTATATATAATTATACACGTGGTGTTTACATGGTAGAGCCACGCTGCAGCTATATTAGTAGTATAGTTGTAGCACGAATGGGTCGGCTCGACCGAGGAAGGACCACGCTCTCACAGAATACCAGCGTCAAATAGCAGTTTAACACTGCTGTGTTTCGTATGGTGGGTGTAGAGAACCGAAAACCCTTTTTACTGAAAAAGATGCATTCTATCTTAGTCCTCACGAGTGACAGCGCATCTGCGTTTTGATTCGCAAACGAAGATAAATGTAGATGTCCATGGGCCACTGCATACTAATTTAAGTTAGTCCCAATAGGCTTGAAAACAAAATTAAAACACCGTTGACACAATTTGGGTGGTTAATACTAAGAAGTGGTTTTTGGTCTATGACGGGTAATTCCGCGTAGTATCCACCGCCGCCGCTAATCATGCCCGTTTAAAGTAAGAGATATTCGTTCTTATTACAATAGAAACAAGGGTTGTGACATATGCAGAGAGGTGGCGCGGGCTCTAGTAGTCAGTTGCGTTTTGTTATGTTCATGTTATTTTTTCTTTTCACAAAGACTGCGTTCAGTTTACATTAAACTATTTAGATTTTTGCCTGTAGAAAATTACAGTGCTCTCCATACACTGTAATTTTAGTATTACAGTAGACAGTAGATCGTGTGAAAATACAGTAAATCTGCTGTAATTACAGTGTATCTGGCAACGCTGATACAGCCTGATCTGACGTGAAACAGAAACAGAAACAGAATCAACATTATCATATATGAGCTAATCTAAACGAAGTGATTATATTCTCTTTGAGCTGATCTATGAGCTAAGGTGGTACTTGCATGCCATCAAGACAAATCACATCACAAGAAACATCACAAAAACAAAGGTAGTTTTAGTAAAAAAAAGTGATATACATTCCGTAAACACTAGGAACAAACACAAGCTAGTGATACCAGTTTCTCGACTCCACAGAGTCAGTAATTCATTCTTGGGGCAATGTATACGCTATTACAACAAGGTCCCGGAAAGTGTACAGGCTCTCTCTATTAGCAAGTTTAAATGTTTTGTTAAGTTGAAACTGTATAAAAAGGGTTATTATAGTATAAATGAATACATGGTTGATAATAACCCCTGGGAATGAGGTGATCGCTTCCAAGCTGTGTCTAAAATAAATTTTGTACTTATATAGTTTGTACAACCATTATTGTAAGATTAGCTTTAAAAATAAAGTCCCGCTGGGTTTCTTGCTGGTTCTTCCCAGGACAGAGGTTTTTTTTCGAACCAGTGGTAAAGTAAAAAATGACTTTCAATAAGAATTACACATGTAATCTATATTGAATAAAAAATTATTCTATTTTATTCTATTCTACATGAATGATAATTTTTAAAAGTGTCTGCTTTCTATCTTTTTGCCTGGGCTGGCTTATCTTCGGAATGGCAGAACAGATTGTAATGAAATTTCACAAACAGATAGAGAGTAATATTAGGAGTGATTTGGGTGGGCTATAGGATCCGAAAAACTCAGAGATTTTTAATGAACAAAAAATACTAAATTATTGTCTATAGACAATTTAGTATGTCTTTAGACATTTTTTTTAATAATTTCAATCAAACTTTTTAAAATTGTTATGTGTGTATTAATGACACGCACATAACCCTCTCAGGTCAATAAAAGGCAGTTATTTCGATATTACTGATAGACGCTTCAATTATTTAAATGTATATAATTATATAATTATATAATTTAGACATGCTCTAATTTATTCACGTTTGTTGAAACGTTACTAAAGGTAGACCTGTAGACATACAACAACACATAGATTTTACTTATAGGTACTGATTTCAACAATACTTTCGACGAAGTATCACGTACTATTATGCTTTAAATAAAGTTAGAAGCATACAGATTTTCTGACTTTATGCTCGCATAATTTAAGTCTTATCGAGAAGGCCGAAATTATTTTGTTTTTTAAATTTGTTATGGGTTCAATACTGAGTTTTATTTCCAATCACTTCTGTAATTTTCGAAGGATCATATTAAGGGTCAGTTTTTTTTTAATATGCTTAGTAACGAAATTCTAATGTTGTATTTACATTCCAATTGTTTTATATATTTTTTTCTTTTTTAAAAACGTTACCCCCACACTAGGATTTTCTCATGTATCATGGAGGCAGGAACAATTATTTGTAGGCAATACAAATACTTGTTCCATGCGAGATTCGAACCCGCGGCCCCCAGCGCTGAGACTCATTGCTAAGCCACTACGCCACGGAGTCGTCAATAAGGTGATGAGATAAAATTTTGTAAAATATAACTTTTTCATGAGGATTTAATTTGACTTTCATAATGGTAGTTAATGGAATTAACCTTAATCTTAAATAATGTGTACACGTTTTTATATAGGATAAGGGTGACAAATGAGCACACAGTCCACCTGATGGTAAGTGGTTGCTGTGGCCTATAGACATCTGCATCTAGTTTCGATTAGGAATCAAAATGCAGATGCGTTGTCACCCGTGAGGACTAAGATGGAATGCCTCTTTTCCAGTAAAAAGGGTCTCCGGTTCTCTATACTCACCATACGAAACACAGCACCATTAAGCTGCTATTTTACGCTGGTATTCTGTGAGAGTGTGGTCCTTCCCCGGTCGAGCCGACCCATTCGTGCTCCAATTATACCAGTAATATAGCTGCAGCATGGCTCTACCACGTAAAAACCATTCACAAAAATGATATTTTCCTATCAGTTAATACCCTCAACGCACGCACCCTGATGACTGACGAGAAGATCCTGGAGCTGGAAGAAGAGATAGACAAGTTGAGCTGCACGTGACAGCGAAAGGGTTAAAAGACCAGCAACAAAATAATTTCGTCAATGTCACTGCCTCTTCTTTTTCACAAATTTACTGTGGAGTACACTGACATAACAATTATATGCACTCATTAATTAAATATCAGAAGCAGCAATAACTTCTACTTCGTCCATATCGTTCCAATTCTCAATGAAAATTAATTATAGCCAAAATGTGGATAGCTCCACAAAAACTCGTGAACATTGGCAGTTGGTATTGGTCTCTTTCGAACTGACTTGACCAACGTGTACACTGTAGCACTCGCCTTGCATCAATTTGCCTACGGTCGTGCTGGCTGAGGCTTGACCAACAACATGTTAAGGCAATCCGGGGTTAAGACTAACATGGAATGCCTCATTTCCAGTAAAGTGGGTCTCCGGTTCTCTGCACTTACCTTACAAGAGTTTTTTTTATAGGAGAGGGGGCAAACGAGCATGCGGCTCACCTGATGGTAAGTGACTACCGCCGCTCATGAGCAACTGCAATACCAGGGGAATTGCAGATGCGTTGCCGGCCTTTTAAAAAGGAGTAGGCTCTTTTCTTAAAGGTGGTGGTAATCGATTCCACAAGGAAGTTGTGCGAGGGAGAAAACTTCTTCTAAATCGCACACTGGTGGACCGCCAATCATCCAGATGGTATGGATGGTATCACAAGTTTTGTCGCGATGTGTGATGGTGAAATCGAGCGGCTGGAATTAGTCCGAACAATTCCTCAGAGCACTCCCCATGGTAAATGCGATAAAATACGCAAAGAGATGCAACATCTCTACGCAGTGCCAATGAGCCAAGCCGATCGGAAAGAACTCGGTCGTCGACGATTCGAACCGCTTTGTGCTGAATGCGGTCAAGTGGAAGGAACTGGCACTGGGGAGCCCGTGCCCAGAGATGGGAACAGTATTCCATGTGAGGCCGAACCTGCGCCTTGTAAACTTGCAGGCGGTGTGCCGGCATGAAATACTGAACTGAACTAAATTTAGTCACCCCCAATCCGAGACTTTATTCAACAAAGTCTCCACTTCAGACACAAGTTTGTTTCTGTACTCGGTGACGTTTTCCCGAGAAATAGTGCCAGTACCTCTCGGGAAAACGTCACCGAGTACAGAAACAAACTTGTGTCTGAAGTCGAGACTTTATTGCCGGTGTATTGAGCATCACCGGTGCTGTCATCTGCATAGCAATGTATGTTACCGGTTTGCTACATATCATTGATATGCAGAAGAAACAGCGTCTATTATGACGTGATAAATTTAGGTTTCAGTTTGATAAGAATGCATAATTTACAATGATTTAAATGATTAGCTTCATTAAAATTATATAATACGTTAACAGCAGCCCATACGAGAACTTGTTCGTGTGGGTTTCGAACACGCGGCTCCGCAGCTCCTAAACCTAATAGGTAATTAGCCACTGCGCTATATCACGGAATAAAAATAAGCCTTACGCAATCGATTTTTTTAATAAGCTGTTAATTTCACAGCCAATAAAATTTTAATAACCAGGTGTTAATTTCTCTTTTGTTTTCAGTGTTTTATTCGTATTAACATTGTTTATGTTTTTATGTTGTACGAATAAATTTTGCTTTATTTAAAAATGAGCAAAATATTGTGTTTAGCTGGTAAGGTGTTTATGTAATTATTTTGTATTCGATGCGGCGCAGTTATTAAAGAAAAATATACCTTTGTGTTACAAAGTAAACATGTGTATTTAAAAAAAATATTTTCATCACCATACTGCTGAACATAAGCTTACCCCACAGATTTTCTTACAGCGGCCATATTTGCCATAGCTACCACGCTCTACAGACGGCTTAATAACCGCAGTTTTTTATTGTTTTAAGTTTCAGGAAGATGCTGCTGCCCATCTCCAGTTTCAGTTTCCTTCTTTCACATTTTA